TTTATTTTTCTATCAACAAACTTTGAACATCAAAGTATATTTTTCTATTGTTTGTTTTTTATTGTTATTGTTCATAAACTAAATGTTGTGATTATAATAGTATAAAAAAAAATTAAGAAAGATAATTGCAACACTGTATGGTTTTAAATTTCAATGTAATCGATTGAAGGTCATTCATATTTTTTTTTTAGACTGTGCAATAAAATAGTAGTGAAAATCATTTTTTATGAAAAGGTCAAAAAATAATTAAATTTTGTTACAAAAAAGATTTTTTTTTGAAGCTCTGCATTAGTATTTTGTGGCATGATCTTTATTTGTAATAACCGCCAAGCATCTTCGTTGCATGGAATTAATAAGGTTCTGATATCGTTCGGCAGATTTATTTTGCCATGCTGACTGTACTACGTCCCACAATTGATTACAACCTCTTGGATTTTTTTTAGAAACTGATTGTTTAACATCAATTCACAAGTTTTCAATCGGATTGAAATCGGGGGATTGTGCTGGCCACTCCATCACATCGATTTTGTTCTCATTAAACCACAATTTGGCTAACTTGCTTGTTTGTTTAGGATCATTATCCTTCTGGAGCAAAAATTTTAACGGTATTTCTTCTTCAGCATAAGGCAGCACGATCTTTTCAAGTATTTTTACATATACAAAACGATCCATGATATCTTCTATGCGATGTATCGGCCCAAGACCATAGTAAGAAAAACAACCCCATATCATTATTTTTGAACCTCCATGTTTGACGGTCTTAAATGTAAATTGTGGCTTATATGCTGCACTCGTTGGTCTTCTAACATACTCTTAACAAACATAGGAACCAAAAATTTCAACTTTGTTTTCATCAGTCCACAAAACATTTTGCCATTTTTTCTTTAGTCCAAGAAGCATGCATACGTGCAAATTTCAAACAATTTTTGATATGTCTTTTACTCAAAAGTGGCATTTTTCTAAATGTTCTTGCATTTAAATCAGCATGTGTTAATCGTCTTCAAATAGTTGAGAAATTAACATTTAATTCTAGCCTTTTTTAATTTTTCTAGAAGTAATAAATGACTCCTTTTTTGCTAACAATACAATTCGACGATCTTCTATAGCAGTAGTTGATCTTTTATTTTTACGTTTTTCTGGTTTGGGTATCCATTTTAAAGCATTACAAATTATGGTTAATGCCTACAAACAAATATAAGCATCCAACCAGTTTTTATATTTGTTTGTAGGCATTAACCATGATTTTTAAGATTTATAATTAAATTACGAACTTTTTCAGTATAATGCTTAGAGCGCCCCATGTTTCTCTAAATTTTCAAAATTTTATAAGTGTATAAATTTATCTAATGTCAAAATTAATTACTTACTTATTGCTTATTATTAAGAACTAATAATAATTAGAATTTAATAAATACAGCAAATATTACATAAAAATTAATTTTGTGCTACTATTTTATTGCACAGTCTAAAAAAAAATATGAATGTCCTTCAATCGATAATATTGAAATTTAAAACCATACAGTGCTGCAATTATCTTTCTTAATTTTTTTTTATACTATTATAATCACAACATTTAGTTTATGAACAATAACAATAAAAAACAAACAATAGAAAAATATATTTTGATGTTCAAAGATTGTTGATAAAAAAATAAAATGCGCACTACTATTTTACTGCACACAACTGTACATCAACCAATGTTGATAAAAATCTTAATGAGAAGTTTCAACAGTTTGTTCACTATAGGGCCCCAAGGGGATCCTTTGTGGCTGATGAAATCCTTGATGTGGTAGAAGACAGTGTGAATTTTGGGTGTTACGCTTGCACCAGTTATCAATAGGTAACACTTTTTGAAATTTTCAATTTTTTCAGCAAAATCCGGCTAAAGGATGTATCTAAAGCAAGCCTTGACAACTAAATTAAAGCTTTTGAATGCTTCAATGCTTCAATCATGCGCACAATATTGGGAACCATGTTTGTCTTCTTAAAAATGAGGATATGTCTGCAGCAAGTTGCTGCAGCATATCCACATTTTTAAGAAGCTTCCTGCATTCATTTCCCTCAAACTGGCCACTGTGATACAGGCTCAGTTGAATGTGAAGAGCGGCTGGCTACTTAACAGCTTCTATCCAAGCAGTTTTAAGGATATTGAAAAGATGGTTGACAACTTCTAAGAGGAGACGCAATTCCATCGGTGGAATGATTTCCAAAATCAGAACATTGACAAGCCCGCAGATGATTGGCTGTCGAATGACATTATCAATCAGCTTTGCATTAGCAACAACCCCGCTAGACTGCTGAAAAGACTTAAGGCTTGAATTAATTGAGCCCAGTGTTCGCAAGTTTCCATATTTGGCAAGACAATTGGATTTGGCATCACACCAGGTGTAAGGGTGCGTTACTTATCTGAGTTTGAAGACCACAAATTATATTTGCAATTTTCATATCACAAGCCAAAATTAGTTTAACTCCATTTGCGTTAATCAGTGACCAGATTTGTTCAATATTGGAGTGTGATTCTGGCAAATCTTCTGAAACCCTAACAATAATTTGCCTCTTGACTCTAGTGTCTTTACCTGTCCTTTGAGTGAGAGGTTGTTGCTGGTGCGGTGAGCTGGTTTCATCCCTTAACGCAGTATCAACAATGCTAAAACTTGAGAAAACCTTTGCCACCATTAATTCCGAGCATAACAAAATATCTACCAGAAATTTTGCAGGACTAAATAACATGATGCACAAAACTTGATAAATCATTGCAGTTAGCAACAACATGAACTGTATAAGAATCTGTTTTTTGTCTGTGATTTTTAAGTCGCTGCTGGTGAAGAAATCGCTCAATTGTTGACCTAGTCTTAAAAAATTCATATAGAAATTTCATTCTACCATCTTGCTGCTTGATGTTTTGTTTATAGTTCTAACAAGTTTCTTTAATTCGTTGTTTGGCAGACTCGTAATTAATTGCACATTTACAAGGGCTACAGTGTCAATTTTGGACCACTTGATGGTGTCTGCACACTACTCTGACCTAAAACCAAAACATACATATTTTATAGTTACAATAAACTTTGTTTAGTAAGTTTGTATAAAACTTTCAAATTATTTGTTTTTAAAAAAATTAGAAACTTGTTAAAAATATACTTCTTGAAATCTATCTAGTGTTATTTCTTAGTAGTCAAGGCTTTATTTCAATATATATGTTAGAATTATTTACGTATAAATATTTACCAGGGGTAACTGTAAGTGGAGGCCTGCCGGATGCTTTAGCCAGTAGAATATTTCCTTCCGGAGAAAATTCTTTATTGGAAATAACTCGAGATGCGACTTGTGTGACTATTGGCTACATTTGACTATTGGCTACATTTGCACCAATTTTTATCAAATCATCTTTAGTGGTTCGAATTCTACAAATATTTTTATTGGCGCACTATGAAGTCAAAATTTGACTTAATTTGAACATTCAAATCATTTTCTGCGGACAAATTTAAATGATTTCAAAATTTGCATCACAGAGTACCTTGATGTGTATGCTAACTAAGTGACATTCTTGGGACAGCTAGGTAAGCATTATAAGGATCTGTGCTAACAGTAAGTATATATATATATATATATATATATATATATATATATATATATATATATATATATATATATATATATATATATATATATATATATATATATATATATATATATATATATATACATATATATATATATATATATATTTATATATATATATATATATATATATATATATATATATATATATATATATATATATATATATATATATATATATATATATATATGTATATATATACACTTACTAATGTGTGTTTTGATAAGCATTTGCTCACTTTTTCTGCTTACCTTAAGCTATACCGTTTTTTTTGAAAAAGATGAAGAAAAAACGAAGAATGATGAATAAAACGATTGCTTTCCCATCCCAAACCCTCAGTCAATGTAGCAGCACTCCACTGCGAATCGGGCTATTTGTCAGTCGATGTATGTACTGAAGCCCCCAGCAGCAGGCTATTTCGGTATGACGTCAGATTGCTTAACTTAGTACGCAATACTATATATATATATATATATATATATATATATATATATATATATATATATATATATATATATATATATATATATATATATATATATATATATATATATATATATATATATATATATGTATATATGTATTTATGTATATATATATGTATATATATATATATATATATGTATATATATATTAATATATATAAGTATGTATATATATATATAAATATGTATATATATATAAATATATATATATATTTTATATATATATATATATATATATATATATATATACACACACATATATAGATAATAAATATAAATATATATTCATATTAGGGTGAAGCAATTTTCATAGCTAAAAAAAAATTTTAAAAATAATATTCTTGAGACACAAATCAATGTCTATTAATTATAAGATAGAAGTAAAAAAATATTTTTTGATTTCGATGAGATCTTGAGGTTCCTCTTTGGATTCTAAATTCTTGACGAATCCTAATATTTTTGAACTTTTATTTTTCTAAACCGTATCAACCTTGGACTCAAAAAAAGCAGAAAAAAATGTTTGTTTTATTAACAATATTTTTATTAAAAAAAATTTTTTTTTAAAAATAATATTTGCAAAAATTTACCTTAATTTACTAATTTACCTTTGAAATAAAACAAACATTATTTTTAAAATCAGCATATTATTCTGCTTCTTTTGAGTACCAGGTTGATATAGTTTAGAAGAAAAAAAATTTCAACATTATTAGGATTCGTCGTAAATTTAGATTCCAAAGAGGAACCTCAAAAACTCATCTAAATTAAAAAAAAAAAAAGTAAGGTTCTTTTTTCATCAAAAGACATCGATTTGCAGCTCAGGCAAATAAAATTTCGAAAATTTTAAATATCGCTCCACCCTAATTCATATATATATATATGTAGTTTTATATTTTTAGCGAGCTATTTGACAACATTTCAAAGGCATGTTCAAGTAAAACTTTCAAGCCTGAGCAATCTACTCAAGTAGACAAAGTAAATTTTTTTTTAACTTTTTTAGATAAGTTTGAATTTTTGACATTCAACCACAATATTCACAAACAAGTTTTTGTTTGCAATTTATAAATAATTAAAAAATCAAATTAAATAAAATGTTAAATTCTTAATCTAAACTTTTAACTTTTAGCTCTTGCCTATAAGTCTGGTTTGTAATCTGATAAAGTTTTTAAATTGAAAATTTTCTTTAATATAAAATCAATCAATCAATGATGTTATTTTTATTCAGTATGTGGATCTTGCAGAAGCATGTAGAATGTAAGACTTGTATATGTTTTTTACATATACATATTCACCAAAGGAGATAAGTTTGATATTCATTTTTCAATGGAGATGATAAAATGGAGGTGATAAAGGAGATGTTGAAAAGTTTAAATTTCTTCTTTTCTTTTTTTTCTACAGTGGTCTCTCTAAAGTGAAATTGTGCACTTGGAACTTTTTATTATAATTTGGAAATTTATTATAATTTTATGTTAATTTTATTTATTATAATTTTATGTTAAATTTGTTAAAAGCATTTTCTTTCTAAACTTGACATGAATTTGTCTAGTTCATTGTAGTTGTACATAACATACTCTTTTAATACAACACTATTGTTGTTTTTTTTTGTCAATGGTTTTGTGCCAAAGTCAGCAGTTTCACTCTTTATTATTCTGCTGTAATGTTCAGAATTTAGGGAGTTAATCATTAGATTAGAATCATTTAAAGACACCATAAATTAGGACTTGAAATAACGAACTTAATAAATTTAAAGATACCATAATAGCTTTGTGCATAGGTTTATAATAAGCAGTAATAATGAGAAATTTTTTTTTCAGAACTATTATTACATATTTCAGATTGAATTATACCAACACACAGCCTGCGAAATCCAAAAAAATTTTAGGTTTGCACAAGAGCGTTGTACTTACCCTTCATCTACTCCTAAATCATTTGTTTGAATATTGCAATATTTAATCACTCATTTTTAAATTACTACTTTTTTAGGCAAATTATGACTTGTTTATAGTTTTCTTTGTGTAACAATGTAGCATTTCAAAATTGCTTTTATTTTTAATAACTTTATTGAAAAATTTTGTTTTAAGTTTAAAAAGGATTTTATATTATTTATTTTATAAATAAACATGTTATTTGAATTGGATTTTATTTCATTATGTAAAACATAAGATTTTTGCATTGAAAATATTTTTTTTATATATATTATTTATTTTATAAATAAACATTATTTGAATTTGATTTTTGCTGATTTTTATTTTAAAATATTCGTTATAATATATCATAACTCTTATTATTTAATATAAATGTTTTGTTTAATAAAATTTAATATTTTTTGTTTAATATAGGTGTGTATTATTTTTTTGTTTAATATAGGTGTGTATTATTTTTTTGTTTAATATAGGTGTGTATTATTTTTTTTGTATAAAATTTTAGTTGGTTGAGAAGTTGTTAGAACAAGATAGTGATCTGCAGGAAACATTACAAAAAGGTTTTTTTTTTTATTTTCTTTATTTTCTAAATTCTGTTCTTTTCTTTTTTCCTCAATAAATTTTTATTTAAATTCTGAAAAGTTCACTCTATTTTGCAGTCGTATTTTTTCTAATTAATCAAAGGTTCAGATAATTGAATATGTTTTAGATATTAGATTTTTTATTTATTTGCTTTTTGAATTCTTTTTGATTTTTAGCAATAAAGCAACTTGAACAGCACAAATTAGTGAAACAGTTGCAAGAAGAAATAAAGAAAAAAGACCAAGAGCTTTCACTGTTTCATAGCCAATTAAAGGAAGCTGAAAATATTTTAGTATGACTTAGTTGTTATGAATATATTAAATTAACTGTTTAAATTGTGTAACTTTATAGACTTGCAGCATCTTCAATAGAAGATTAATATGTTTTACATAACTGTAATGGTTCAAGTGTGATTTTGAATCATTGATGACCTGAATAAAATATTTTAATTTAAAAAAATCAATTTACTATTTATGAATGTTCAAATATTTTTAAAGAGATGTGGACACAATTAAGAACTTGTTTTAGGCTACTGCTCTTCATCAAGCAAAGAAAAAGCTGCTAACAGCAGAGCAAGCCAAGAGTTGTAAGTTTTTAATAATTACTAGTTATATAAATATAAGTAATTAAACAAAACAAATTAAATTAGGTATTAGATTTTTAAATAAACAGTTTTAATCTAAAAAAAAAGTTTTGCTTCTTATTAGAATGATCACAGAGATCAAAGATGGCAGCATAAATTTGAAATCACAGAGTTTTCTAAAATTTTATAATAAAAATTTCAAAAATATGTTTATAACTTAACATAGGGTGATTAAAAAAGTTTATTAATCAAATTTGATAGCAAAAGATTATAAATTATTGTTAACAAAATCAATAGGTTTTAAGCAAACGCAAATGATCTAGTGAAAAGGAGTTGTCTAGAAGTTGTATTCTTTCTCATGACAAAATCTCTGGAATAAAATCTTGATTCTTATGGAGATATCTTGAGATATAGATTTTGATCTACTTGTGTATTGTAAAATTCCATTTATAAATTGCAAAAAATGAAAAAAGAAAATATTTAAATAAAAAATGACAAAACTTACCAGGAAAATATGATTTTTATTTTATAAATTTTTTCTGGGTATAAATCTGAATAATTTGAATATTAAAGGCGTTTTACATAAAAAAATACTCTCTGTTGCTGCCATCTGTGCAATACTAACATTAAAATAACTAATTAATAAGCTATAACTTTGTTAATAGTTAGTGCATATTCAATGTAATACAGGTTTGAAAACAACAAATTTCATCACAGTATGATTTACATGAGTTTTTAGATTTTTTTATTGTTTAAATGATCTTGTTAATAAGATTATTTAAACAAGAGTGGTGTGGTGGTGGTGATGTTGGTGGTGTGGTGGGGGTTGAACTTTTTAAGTGGGCACTCTACCAATACACCACTATCACACTTAAACCATTTGATTGTAAGCCAAGTGTTCTACCACTAGTCTAAAACTGCAATTATTTTTGTACGTGGTGCTGCGGCTACTAAAGAGAAAAAACAGACAAAAATAAAAGAATAATAACTGGAATAATAATAACTATACAGTAGTGTAACTGGAATGGTACCTAATCCGGCTAATAGATATTCCCTCAAAAATGGAATTACAACAAAGCATTTAAAAAAGTGTTTTTTTGAAATTAAATTAAGTTTATTTTGCTGGACAAACATTTTATATTTTTAAGCAATTTAATCAATAGTTTCTAATTAATAATTTAAATCAAATCATTTAAGATGAACTGCATTCAATTTTCTTTTAGTTACAAACTACACTACTACATTGTGATTTTTTTAAACAATACTTGATTCTTCCAATGAATTTTTGGCTTCCTATTATCCCTTGTAGACCAAGCCTTTTAAATAATCCTATAAGTCTTTAAATTGTCTTATTTCAGGACAGTTGGCAGGATTATCTTTTGTTAAGAGCATAGTTGATACTTTCACTGTCCAGCAAAACAATGACATTTTTGATATAATGAGCCAAAGCTAAGTCAAGCCAAAAAATGTATTTGTCATCATTGTTCAGATCATTGAGCAGAATCAAAAAAATCTTTTTTGTACATATTTTTGTTAAAAGAGTAGCCAGATTGCTTGATTATTGGTTTTACCTTTGGGACTAATTGCAAGCCATACCAATACTTTGTTTTTGAACTTAGCTTTTCTTTTGTACTTATAGTCTGGAGAAGAATTCTTGGCATCGCTGGAGTAATACCCATCATTCCCAACAACTGTGGTGTTTGACAAAGTATATAAGATTTGTCATCCAAAATGAACTTTTTCTTAAAAAAATTTTTGTACAAACATCTGCATTTAGTGACTGCTCTTTTCTGCTCAGACTTTCTTTGCTATTAATTCCCGGTAATAATTTTGGTGATAGTCTTTGTTTTTAACCATTTATGAGTGCATGTGATTGAACTTTTTTATTATTTTTTTGACTTTTTCTAATGGTTGCTTTGGGAATATTGTCAAAATAAGCAACAGGATGGTTGACTTTATTTTTTTATCATTTTTGTGCCATTTCTTTTCAAAATTCTTTTTTTACTCAGTCTACTTTTATTTCTTTTAATTATATGATATACAGTTGTTTTTGGAAATTTTCTACTTTCAAATGATTATAAGTAAACATTTTTTTAAGTGTAATGTTATTTTCGTAGAACTTGTTCATGGGTTTTCTTACATCTACTTTTTTGAACTCATTTTTTTAACTAAACAAGTTTTGATTAATACTTTTTTTTTGTATTTACATATTGTCAAATTTACATAAACATTAAGTCATATTTTATTATTTTAATATTTGCACATAAGCTAATGTATTTTTTGGATTTCTATTTTTGAGGGAACATCCATTATTACCTTAGGCGTATCTAAGGAGAAAGTGTTCAATTTTTTTTATTACATCTGAAATCATTAGGCATACATATTCAGCACATAAAAAATGAAGTTTTTTATTAATTCAATAATCAGAATTTTGAAATACCATGAAGAAAATATAGTATTTTTTTAATAGGAATTTAAAGTATTTCACTTTAAATATAATCTTAAAAGATAAATCACTTAGAATATATTCTTAAGTTTATATTTGAAGTGATTTATTTATTGAATTAAGTTTATATTTGAAGTGATTTATTTATTGAATTAAGTTTATATTTGAAGTGATTTATTTATTGAATTAAGTTTATATTTGAAGTGATTTATTTATTGAATTAAGTTTATATTTGAAGTGATTTATTTATTGAATTAAGTTTATATTTGAAGTGATTTATTTATTGAATTAAGTTTATATTTGAAGTGATTTATTTATTGAATTAAGTTTATATTTGAAGTGATTTATTTATTGAATTAAGTTTATATTTGAAGTGATCGTTCAGATTATTATCTTAAGAATATATATGAAGTGATTAGAAGAATTTTTTTACAGTTTCTTTTATTATCTTAAGAATATATATGAAGTGATTAGAAGAATTTTTTTACAGTTTCTTTTATAGTCATAGTTCTAAATATTTTTTTGTTTTAAAAAAGCTTCTGTGTCATGTGAGGAACTTATCAAGTTTGCATTTCGAATAAGTAGCGGTAACTCTGTTGAAGCACCTCCAGGTTGGGTTCCAGGTATACATTTTATTATTAGAAAATCTCTAATTGTTTGTATGCATATCTAAATGTATGTTTTTAAATTTTATTTGGGAAAAATTTTTTGTAAGAGTTTTAGGGAAAGGGAATACTTGGGCAAAATTAATTGGTATCCTAGTTTTTTTAATAAACAGAAAAAAAGATATTAATTTTAAGAACTGTGGATGTATGGGTGAGGTAATGTGGTTGAGGTTTCGAAAAAGATTGACCTCATCTACTATTAACAATGTTTATATGTTAATGTTGGTTGAATTATTTTAAAACAGCTTATTAAACCAGTTCAACCAGTTCAAGCAAGCAGCATAATTTGTAAAGTTTCATAAAATGTCTGAGGTCTGGGCACAAAATAGCTTATGTAATATAGCAATTTCTGAGGTCTGGGCTGGAGCTACTGTATGATGAGTTCTGGGCCTTAGGTTACATACAAATTAGAATGGCTTTAATCTCAATTTTTTCTTTATTCTATTTTTTTACTGATTTTAATGAGCACCAAAAATAACAAAACAATGTGAAAAAAAAGATCCAAAAAGCAAAACTACATTTGTTTGAATATTCATATAAATGTTTCATTTTAATTGTGCTTTCCTATCAAACTTTCCATCCAATAAACTTTAGGCATTTTTTCCTGGACTATGATAAGTTTATTAAAGTTTGTGACCCTTATGGTAGTCATATTTATTTTTTGTTACCTTTGTAATTACTTTACCAATTCTTTTTATATTCTAATAATGATACAGATATTTTTGGATACTTGAAAGGCATTAATTTTTAAAAGGGCATTGATTTTTAAAGATCTTTATTTGAATATTCTGTAAAGGTTTTGAAATTTGACTTAAATGTCTCAATTTAAACTAATTTTTTCGCTCCAAAATTAAGTATTGTGGAAAGAATTTGAATTGTCTGTTGCATTAGTGAATATTTTCGGACTGATATTCTTTGGATAACTGGAGTTAAATCTTGTTTTCTTTTATCCATGCTGATAAAATATTTTGGTTGGAAAAATAAAAGTTTTCTTTTAAAATATCCTTTATTACCTTATTTTATTTTACATCAGTATCACAAGTGAATCTCAAAAAGGAAATGATAGATAAAAGTGATAGATGAGAGACATCACAATAAGAGAATGATAAGATTGTTACAAAAAAATTCACCAGTATAAAAGCAATGAAATTTGTTTCAGAAAATTGTTTATGATACATATCATGGTCGCGTTTATGATATCATTGTGGTGTTTATGATACATATCATTGTGTTGTTTATGATACATAAGATTGGCTACAACACTTTGACATCAAAGTGATTAGAGTCTAAGTGCAATGAAAAAAATATTTTTTATTTATATGTCAATTGGTTTTGATTAATTTTAGGAACTTATAAATTGATATTACTGGATTCAAATAATATTGTTAATCTGTTTCATTTTTATTTTTTTTTTATTTTTTTTATTTTTATAAAAAGTCTCTTAAATAAATGCCATATTTACTTTATGTAATTTATAATAAATACATTGCTTATTATTATTGCTTTTCATGCACTATATTTAAAAAACAGGTGATCCTCGTAGACCTTATCCATTGGATATTGAAATGCGATGTGGCGCTCTAGGACAGTCCATTCAAAGAAATGTTCTTGAGCCAGCAATAAAGGAAGAATTTATTGAAAATACTAAAAATGATGAAAATAAAAAGTTGTATTTAGACAAAGATGAAGATGGTTTGTTCATTTAATTTTTAGTTACAATATTTTTTCAGATTTTTTTTATATCAGTGTGTATATACGTATTGTAATTTTGTACCTTGTGTCTTTTTGTTTCATTTTTTCAAAATCTTTTTTTATAAATTTTTTAATAATTTTTAAACATTTTTAGATGTGTTTACTTTTGTTTTAGAGCGGTTTGGTAATGGCGGCATTTGGCAGGGACTTTCTGGAGATATGGTATTTTTTTTTATCTTTAACATTTATATTGAAGTATGACTTTAAATAGTGAGTTTTAATAAGAAAATTTTCTTTTTCAATTGTTACATTAAAACAAGTATAAAATAAAAAAAATGTTAATAATAACAATAATAATATGTAATCTCCTGCTCTTTTTAATTGTTGAATTAGTTGGTGAATTTGCGCATTAGTGAAAATTGTCTAGTGTTGTGTACTTTGCGTATTGGCTTATACTAGTTTAATCTAGTTATTTTTCAAGTTATCAAAATATCCCATTTTATTTTCAATTTTACATGTTGTATATTAAATATATTCTGTAAAGTTAATTTCATAATCAATTAGTTAATAAATTTACCAAAATCATTTGTATTAATTTGAATGTCTAAATATTTTATGTAATCCAGGATAATTTATGTAATCCAGGATAATTTATGTAATCCAAGATTATTTATGTATTCCAGGATTATTTTTACATTACTGTTTAGATTATTTATTAACTGTCTTGAATTTCAAACAATGGTCAGCCCTCAACAACCATATTTATTTTGCAATCTTCTTTATAACTAATGTTTTAAAGGAGTAACTTAGTCTTTCTGAATTGTTATTTACAAAATAAGCCCTAAAAACATTTTAACAGGGTGGCCACTCAAATGAACTTCCATGACTTTTGATAAATTTCCATGATAAATTACTGGTGTACAATATCAGGTGGTCGCCATGTGCTTTGTGGGATAATGATGTGGTGGTTGCCACTTAGTCCCTAAAAGGTATGCAGATAAATAATTTGTAGAATGTTTTAAATTAAACCTGAAAAAAGCTTTAATTGACTGAGTTTGTCATTAAAACTGAGTTATTATCATGGACATAAAATAGAAAATAAATTAATTTATGAACAAATATTCTACATCTACATGCACATTAGGGTGTCCCAAAAAACAACATTTTTGAAAATAATCTGCTCTCACCCCCTAAATGTGTTCTTTCTAATACAAAAACACTAAGTTTAAATTTTTTTTGAATAAAAAATATTTTAATGGGTCCCTCAAGACCCTCGAATATTTAATGGGTCCCTAATATTTTCGAAAAAAAAGTTTTTTAAAAATATGTCAACCAAAATTCTATAAATATTTTCAAAAATAATATTCATTTCGAAATATTTTTCGAAATGAATATTATTTTTGAAATCATAAAAAAACATAAGAAATGCATTTTTTTTCATTTTTTCTTAAAAAACGCAATTTTTTATGTAATAAAACAAAAAATAACAATTTTGCTTCGAAATGAATATTATTTTTAAAATTTTTATATAATTTTGCTTCATTTGAGTACCAGGTTGACATATTTTTGAAAAGCTTTTTTTCGAAAATATTAGGGACCCATTAAATATTCGAGAGTCTTGAGGGACCCCTTAAAATATTTTTTATTCAAAAAAAAATTAAACCTAGTGTTTTTGCATTAGATAGAACACTTTTAGGGGGTGAGAGCAGATTATTTTCAAAAATGTTTTTTTTTGGGACACCCTAATGCACATGAAATAGAAAATAGATAAATTTATGAACAAATATCCTATATCTACATGCACATGAAATAGAAAGAAAAATAAATTTATGAACAAATATTCTACATCTACATGCACATGAAATAGAAAATAAATAAGTTTATGGACAAATATCCAACATGCGCATGAAATAGAATGGCTAAGATAGCTTTACTCTAAACAGTTTTCTGAATAACAAATAACTATTAGCTATAATTTTTTTGTGCAATAATTATTGATATCAATCTTCTGTTTGAATAGTTAAAGTTAAAAATTTTGAACAAAAATTCTAAAAAAGTCTAACTACTTAAATGTAATAAATTTATAACTTTCTTTTAAGACTTAAAACTTGATTTAACTATAATTGAAATAATTTTTAAATTTATCTTTAATTTTACAATAGCATTACCCAGCTGTAGAAAGAATGCAAAACATTTCTGATTGGATGCCTTTTGTTTTTTAATCTGTTTTGCAAATCAGGGATGAGTATTTTTATTGTGATACTACCACTAGGCAGAATTTAGATAAAGAATCCACTCTTTATGGCTTCTCCTACACTTACCTAGAATTTAATTTAGGGGTTTGTATCAGAGTTTTTCTTCTAGGTAAGTTTTACTAGGTAAGCCTTTACTACGGCTTTAGAGTCTGAATTGACCATTTGGACAGGCTTTACTGGACTACATTTTACCAATAACAGGGTAACCTGATCATGACCAAACTGAGTTGACCAAAAAAAAATTTAAATGTATATTAATTCTTTATTTAGCTGATAATTTATTTTAATAAATAGTCAAATTTAAATTATCTTCTGAAAAGGGTGACCTGACCTAACTGATTTCAATAAAATAATTATTTTTAACTTATACTGTAATAATATTTTTTTTTTATATTTTTGTAACACATTTGTACTTTTCTTTGAAAATATATTTAGAATATCAATATTAGTTAAATAATAAAACAATAACAATATTAATTAAATATCAATATTAGTTAAATAATAAAACAATAACAATATCAATTAAATATCAATATTAGTTAAATAATAAAACAATAACAATATCAATTAAATATCAATATTAGTTAAATAATAAAACAATAACAGTATCAAGTAAATATCAATATTAATTAAATAATAAAACAATAACAATATCAATTAGGTATATCAATATTAGTTAAATAATAAAACAATAACAATATCAATTAAATATCAATATTAATTAAATAATAAAACAATAACAATATCAATTAGATATATCAATATTAGTTCAATAATAAAACAATAACAATATTAATTAAATATCAATATTAGTTAAATAATAAAACTAGACTTCGCAAAAACAATAACAATATTAATTAAATATTAACAGACTAGACACATGGCTCTCAAACTTGTGACTTGTCACAATTAAAGATTTGAACTTCAGGAAATTATTGTAAGATTCTTCATGAAGATCTGGCGAATGCTTTTATGAAGATCTGGCAAATTTTTTTAATATTCTATTAAGAAGTCGAAGTAAGACTTAGAATAGATAAAAAAGTTATCTTAAACTCGTAGTTTTATTTATACTCAATTTTTTTTTAAGTTTTAAAATAGATTGCTTCAAAATAAAATTTCTAAATTTGTTGACATTCAAGTGTTGTGTAGGCATTTTAAGACTTATGACAAGCACTTTCATATGGTGAAATATTTACTACTAGAGCTATGACAGAAAAATTATATTGTTTAAGATTATTTGATATTTTGTTTTTTTGATGACAAAGTAATTTATAAGTTTTTAAAGTTGTTTAATTTTAAGTTATTTATTGTATCTATTGGTAAGTAACATTTTTTAAACTACAATCCATAAGCTCTTGACTTCATAATTAAAAATTATTAAAATAAACAAGTTGATACTAAAAATAAAACAATTGTTTTCTATTAGCGAGTATGGGGTAACTTGAAACAGCATTTGTAGGGGGACCCTAAAACTGTAGTACTCTATTATGTCACAAACAGTTCTAAATATTGTTACTTTTAATATTTACAGTCAATTTTTAAGAGATTTGTGCAAATAGAGTAGTAGGAGATACAAAACCTACTTAAATTAAATGGGCCACAAGGCCTACTTAAATTTGTGTAATTTAATCTGCCTGATTTGTTACATTTTCTGTAAAAAATTAAAAGGTCAGTTTTTTTACGGCTTATATTTAAAAGCTTGGCAACTTTTTATAGTTGTTAGTCGTATTTGTACTATAAATATTTTATTCTTATTTTATTATAATAGTTAAATAAAAGTTAGTTTGTTTTTTTTGAACAGTTACATTATGTAATGTATTTTTAGCTAACTGTTTGCCTGCTTTAGTTTATTCCAATTACACAGAATACTGAAATAGACTTTCAGAAAGCTATATCACCATATATCAACATTCTATTAAAAAAAAACCTTATGTATTGCTAAAATTAACCACAATTCTTTATTGGAATTAATTTTTGAAGGTATGTTATTTTGTATTTATTCTAATTGGAATTATTAGGAATAGAAAAAAAGATTTTTATAAAAAATATTTACATAATATTTAAAACAATGTTTAAAACAACTGTTAAAAACAATGTTTAAAACAACTGTTAAAAACAATATTTAAAACAACTGTTAAAAACAATGTTTAAAACAACTGTTAAAAACAATATTTAAAACAATATTTAAAACAACTGTTAAAAACAATGTTTAAAACAATGTTTGAAACAACTGTTTAAAACAAATGTTTAAAGCAACTGTTAAAAACAATGTTTAAAACAATGTTTAAAACAACTGTTAAACAATTTTTAGCAGTGTAAATACTCTACTATCATTATAAAGTATTAACATTGCAAAGCGTAATAATTATACATGTTTTAAACATGTAGCAATTAAAATGCAACAAATCTGTTGCATTTTTCTGTTTGCATTGCAAACTTCAGGTCAGGATTTTATAAACATAAATTGCAGATCAGGTCAGGATTTTATAAACATCAATTGTAGGTTTATGTTTGAAGAAAGAAATTGATGGGTGTATTACCTCAATGCACCGACATGAGTTTAAAAGAAAAGTTGTTGTTACTAATAATGATTCTAACAATATAAATGCATTTTCATAGCTCTATTGAGCATATACTGGAGATGAAAAACTATTTATTTATTGTCCAGTTTATAAAAGTGTATTTAAAACATTATTTGATATACTCTGCTTTAAAAAAATCTAAAAAACAACTTGCTAAAGGCAAAAAGGTATGTTTTTACTTCTTTTTTATTCGATGAAGTTACTACTGGTTTCATTGCAGGGAATATATTGCATAAAATTTATGACAAAGAATAATACTTAATAGGAACAATTAATCAAGAAATTGATTATCAGGTAACTTATCTTGGACACAACAAATAAGATGTCAACTATACATTGGCAATATGTAATAAAAAAACTGGAGCTTCAATGTTATAGATTTATTATAAGAGTTATTTTCCTTAATGAAATAATGCAACACAATTTTTATTGTTGATTTATAAGTTATTTATCACACTTAATTCAAAGCAGAAACTCAATACATCCAATCAACTCAGCAGTGCTGCTGTTAAAGATGATACCTAACCCACACTTTATAGAAAAATTTCAAATGGTATTGCCAAAATGTAAATATTTTACATCAATTAAACAAACCTCTCATGCTCTAATTACAATGCTACAAGCAACTATATCTCTTATAGATAATTACAATGCTACAAGCAACTATATCTCTTATAGATAATTACAATGCTACAAGCAACTATATCTCTTATAGATAATTTGCTTTAAGAAGGCTATTGTTATTCTTTCTAGTTTTTCTGATCTTTCAGAGCTACGTTTTAGTAAGTATAGATAAATGAACTTATATATACTAACTAAAAGTCTTTTAGAAGTATGCAATAGTAAATAATCCTTATTTTAATATATTATTGCTTTGTTGTTTACATAAATACAAGTGTCAGCTTCTTGAAGATAGCATAAAAGTTGCTTGCACTATTGCAAGTTACATTGGTAAAAATTTAAAAAAAGGTTTGGATGTTAAATTTGTGATCAAAAAACAAAATAGTTAATAATGAATACCAGAAAATTTTATACCAAGGAGAACCAATATATCCAATTCAACTTCTGTCTGATTTTATTTGTCATCTTTTTAGTATTTTAAATGATATTTCTCTTATTCATTGCAGTCACTCTTTCTCAATTAAAAGTTTTGCAAAACAAATTTTAAAGATTTATTATAGTAATATTGATTTTACAGGTGAAAAATCGCCAAAATTGGGGAATCAATTATAGATCGTTTAAAATATTTTTTATAATAATTTACAAGAAGAAGCATATTCATAAAAAAAGATCAAGTGAAAGAAAAAAAGACAAAGACCCAATAAAAAGCTAACTCCTCATTTCTTTTAATTTTAATTATAATAAATGCAAACCTTTAGTTTTATTTTCAATGAAGAGTTTTAAGCAGTCTTAGCAACGGTTATTTTTAATAGCATGTTCATAACTATTTGAAAGCCTATTTCAGTATTCTGTGTTATTGGAATAAAGCAGGCAATCAGTTGGCGAAAAATCCAGCAAAAAATAATGTAATTATTCAACTATTATTCAATCATTTTAATAAAATAATTTATAGTGCAAACGCAAATCAAAACTAAGATCTTTTAAACCGTCATTTATTGATGCTTAAGAATGACATTTAAAACGATATATTATTATCTGGATTTCTGAAATATGATTTGGACAGTGGTATTTAGGTTATTATTATTTGTTTTGCTTACAAGCAAAAATCCACCTTATCTATAAATTTTATTCTGTATATTTACTTTTCCAATGATGCTCATAGTATATATATATATATATATATATATATATATATATATATATATATATATATATATATATATATATATATATATATATATATATATATATATATATATATATATATATATATATATATATATATATATATATATATATATTTATATAGATAGATAGATAGATAGATAGATAGTATTATTTTATAAAATAATGGCTAACATATAATTTGTTGTGATTGATGCAGCGCATAGCTTTAAAAAATCTACGATTGCCGTCGGAGATACTTATGAAAAGGTCTATTCTAATATAAATCTAATGTTCTAAAGATCTGTAATTCTAATGTAGTTAATTATTATTTATTATTGTAAATTTTATTATTTTGAATGTAGTTTTGCACTGTAACTTAGTTGTTCAAATAGTTTTTGTTCGAATGTAGTTTTCTATTGTAATCAAAAGTAATTTTTCATCGCTTAAGTTTATATAATTTTACTATATATAATTTAATAATATATAGTTTAGTTTATTTAATTTTTATGAACTTATTTTTAGTGATGTTTAGTATTTTTACACGGTTACGCACTTTGTTTGTTTTAATACAGTCGTTTTATTAGTGTCATCTTTCCTAAACTTTATGCATATATTTGTATGCATTATTTCTTTTAAGGATAATCTTTCAACAATGCCGCCTTCTACTTTGTCGTCAGTGAATGGACCTTCGAATGCCGAGGAAATAGAGTTTATGTCGACATCTTCCGACTCTTCTTCAAGTGGAGAAAGTAATTAACATTAATTGGTATTAAATTACACATCATGGCAACTTGTTATATTTCCAAAATTTTCAGCGCGTTCTAAGATATCTTTAAAAAAATTATATCGATTGAAAATCAATTTTATTTTCGATTTCAAGAGTTATAAAAATATACGAAGAAAAATAATTTTCTAGAATATTTATAAACGACAATTATTTTTTAAAATTTTTTTTTCAGTTTACCTCAAAACGCTTTGTCCTACGTTTTTTGAAAATTACATGTCCACGACAGACACCAGATAATCGGTATCGCGTAAGTTGATACTGAGATTAATAATTTTGTATCATATTGTATCGCTTATATACTATTGTCAATACCATCGTTACTGGTTCGATACCACACTATACTAATAACAAAAAAGAATCGTATGATATTGAACAATGACATAATGTTAATTGATATCGAGTTAATAATGAACAACTAATTGACGCCGGACATTCACTCCGATTACAATGAAAGATTTGTTTGATATGCGTAACATCCGAGGATCGTTTCACTATAAGATAAGAGTGGAGAAAACAAGAGCCACCGCGGAAATGATTAATCAAATGATTACGAACAAATCGGACTACGACCTCACTGAAGCGGATAGGCAAGTATTTAGCAGAGGGTTGGGATTTATTCAAAACGACCAATACGTTCCGGAAAAGATGTTCAGAGATACAATATCAAAATTAAAAAGGAATATGCTACTGAGAGTTTATTTTAAGGACAATGAAGGACCACCCCAAACAAACACCAATGAAGAGGAGACTTGACACGGTTTAAAACCCACCTGCATCCAACAATGCAAATATAAATCTTTTCTTTGAAAGGATTAAGAGTGAAACGGACACAGTGCTAAATGAGAGAATGAAGATAGCACACCCCAACCTAACGAAAAACATGAAAGAAGCCATCTTAACACTAAAAAATAATAACAATATCATCACCAAGCAAGCTGACAAAAGTGGTAGCATCTGCATCTTAAACAGGAGAGATTTTGAAGAGAAAATTAACACCATGCTAGCAGATGAATCCACATATAAACTCCTACAATACGACCCCACCATAGAAATGGCACGGAACGTTGTATCGACAATTGATTACATCTTATTCAAAGGAGTGATTGACGAAAAGACTGCAAATTACATACGTCCAAACAATCCTTTTCGCCCTCCCCTGTTCTATGGACTCCCCAAAATACACAAAACTGGAATTCCTCTCCGACCTATTGTATCTGCTTGCGATGGTCCCACAGACCACCTCTCATACTTTGTGACTAAGTTCATACAACCACTAGCCGAAACACTTCCATCATATTTTAGAGACTCCACACTTTCTTCACATGCTCCTAAATCAACCGCTACCGCCTTAAAAATACATCTTCGTCACCGCTGACGTTACCTCCCTGTACACTAACATACTCCATATAGATGGTATAGAAGCCATCAAACTACTTTTTAATAACATACCACATGACCTAAGACCACCCAATTCACCACCTGTAGCATATATACAGATTATGATTGACACCATTCTGACAAACACGACGTTCCAGTTTGACGACCGCAACTATTTACAAATGACAGGGACATTGATGGATACACGTATGGCACCACCATACGCTAGCATATTCATGGGCACATTAGACGAAGCCATCACTGGACAATTTAAAGACTGCATCACGTTCTACAAAAGATTCATCGATGAATTTTTTTCATATTCACAGGCACTATAGAAGATCTCGAACATGTTATAACATTTATGAACAACCTGCACCTTTTTACTTTTAACCACTCAGATACTTCCATTGATTTTATGGACCTAACTCTCTACAATAACCATCTAGATAAAATACAGAGTACAATTCACCGTAAACCCACCGACACAATGAGCCTTCTACATTTCAGTTCATACCACCCACATCATATCACATCAGGTCTCATTCACAGCCAAGCAATCAGATACAATAGGCTTATATCTGACTCCCACCACCTATATAAGGAGCTCCGCACATTAGCGCGACAATTGGTTCTTAAGGGGTACCATCTTGATATTATCAACAGAAACATCACTAAAGCCCTATTACACACACAGAAAGATCTTATCCACAAAGACAAAGAAGCTGATGACACCCACATCTTCCCCATAGTCACACCTTACAATGAACAAGGTATACGTATCAACAACGCGATATTACACAACTGGCACTTTATCCACAATGACCCAGAACTCTGCACACTATTTCCACCGGTACTAAACATCCACTGTTTGCTCTAGTTCGTATTCAGCTGGTAGGACGTACTTCTGCTCCCACCCGCATGTTACAATGTATTTCAATTATTTTACACATAAAATATACCGCCTATGTTGTTTATGTTTTTTACTTTATTACATGATCTATCAATAAGCCAAATTGTTATATTATTATTCGTTCGACGCTTATAGTTTATAATTCGCTTATAAATACACCAGAAAATTACTAGAGGGCTTTTGTTTTTACCCCTTAAACAAAATGCTTTGACATATTTACACGAAGATGGTTGACACATGATTTACACACTTAACTGCTATTTTAGGATGAACATGCTATAGAGATATTCCTTCGCCAAGCCACGGAGGACAAGAACGCATTATCTAACGCAAGTCTTGATAGAGAACGATACATTGTTTACAAAGAAATGAATGGAATATGCTTCCACCCTATGAATACCTGGCCACTATCCTTACAGATAATATTCTGGAACATAACTATAACTGACACTGAAACATTCAAATTGACACTTTTTTTCATTGGTAATGGATGCTCTACATACTTAATTTTCAAATTCCTTATTCTCGGCTTTAGAAAAAACCGCGCAAAATATAAAAAAAGAATATACCAACTGCTGTGGCTAGCTAGAAACATTGAGAACCACTCACATAGATGGTTTTATTTTGACATTTATCTCAATTCTATGAGGTATTTAAACATGGAACCTTGTCCATGTGAATGGAAAAACCTTGAAGATAAACAAAATGATTTATCCATATTTTATTTAGAATAAAAAAATAAAATATCACAATGAATGCATTTTATATCTTATAAAATACATACTAACCACACAAGGACTACAACGATCAAACTTTGCATTAAGTTTAGCATGCGTTCTTTACAAGACAGATGCATTTGTTTATCACTTTTACCACCCTTAAGGTGGTAGATTAGCCACTTTACTTTTAATTTTTAATTTTTTTCTATTACCTTTTAGTCACTCTAATAGCTTATACCATGTATTTCGGTTGTACTTTTTGTATTCGACTACCATATTGTTAGATTTTTTTGATCCTAAGAAAATTTATCTGACGTCGATAAGCCAGTTTGTTTTAGTGTTGCACTATACAGTCTTCAATAGCGTTCTTATGGTTATTATGTAAACAATCTTTGTTTTTCAACTCGATTTTTTTAGTCCGCAAGATACTCTTTGATCGATTACGCGTTTATGACCTGTGTCGGTCCACACTCATATAGTATTCTACATATTAAATTATTATTCAATTCTGGTGTATCCACTAATTATATTGTGTATCTTGAGTTATCAATCTATTCATTTATTATTATCTAATACTATTTTCAGTTAAGAATTATCTCCATCTATCAGGCGAGATTTATATTCTCTGAACAATTTGTCTTACTAAACTCCACACTACGATTGTATACCACGTACTATTTTTATCCTAGTTTATATCGTTACGAGTCGTGATTTTCTGGATTGTTAATATATATATATATATATATATATATATATATATATATATATATATATATATATATATATATATATATATATATATATATATATATATATATATATATATATATATATATATATATATATATATATATATATATATATATATATATATATATATATAAAGAGATAAATATTATGCATTACTTTATTAAAAAATGGTAAGTCACTTTGAAGTATTATGTGCTATCTGCTGCTTATTATTTATTTTGTTGTCATTGTCACTTATTGCTCTATTGTCATTATTTTGTGTAGATATGTTTATGTGTATGTATGTATGTATGTATGTATGTATGTATGTATGTATGTATGTATGTATGTATGTATGTATGTATGTATGTATGTATGTATGTATGTATGTATGTATGTATGTATGTATGTATGAGGGATATGTGTTTATTTTTTATGTTGTGAGTATTTACATACATATATACAGCTATACCAAGCGCATCCCTCACCACCCTCACGAGATCTCTAAGAATGTTGGAGCTGTTTTAAAAAAACTGGGATAGGGATTTTGTTTTTTCGCAGTGCATTCCTTAGGAGGGGGATCACCATAGGAGGGGGAGGTGGAAAATCACTACTTAATTCTAATTGTTTATTATGACACCAACATTTTTTTACTTCTTTAACCCATGTATTTTTGCGCTTTGTGAGCTTTTAATTATGTATTTGTTACATTTACGACGTTTATATATTTTTATGTTACACAGGTGATTATCAGTTCTAAATTTTTTATCTAGAGTTTAGAACATATATAGTACATTTATTAGACATTTGTATGGTGCGATTATTTTAGTTATGAATACCATTACAAACCAGCGGATTTTTATTGACTTGTTTACTCATAGATCATTGTTTCATCATTTGGTAAAAGATGACTAGAGTGTGAGTTTTTATTCCTCTTTTCCTGAGTTGCTAACTTTAACTCTTCTTACTAAATAGTCTTTGTATTAATTTATGTTTTTTTTACCTAAATGACATCATCTTCAATCTGTTTTTATTTTCACATCTCCCAGGTCTACGTAACTGGACGGCTCCGTTGGTCACTTTTTGCGATCATTGTGTCGCATAAGCAAAAAAATTTATTCTTTATGGCTGGTGAGCCCCGACTTTTTCCAATGTACACCACAACGACAAAACGGACATTAGGCTATCCCGCTGGATGTGGTTACGGCGCTCAATAACCTAATGACTACGCTGACACTCACACACACGTTCAGTCGGAAGCTCCACAATGCACGTCGGATCAGCGCTCGCTGACTATGTGCTTGGATCTGAAATCTCACTTCATAGCACATCATTCCACACCAGCACGGGGAAGTAGCTCTTTTGGCTAAGAGTGATGGCTTGTAGCCTACGGTGACTAATGTGTGCATTCGATCAATTGAAATCCATTCTGTAGGTCTTACGTCTAGCTCTGATGTGTTAGCCCATAAGCGCAAGAAGTGAGTGTGTTTAGCTTTCTATTCACCCGATTTGAAAGTGAACGGAAACGAAACAAGACCATACTAGACGACAAACGGTGCGTACTAATGCACCACACCATTACACCTGTAGACATCAACAGTCTTTAAAATCAGTATATCCAATATTTGTTCTTTGTTACATATGATCTACACACAGAGTGATTAGAGTGTTAGTTGGTACTCTCCCTGCCCCCCGAGCATTTAACTTCGTTATTTACCTTCACAAAAGTCTTATCACTCATTTTATATTTTCTTATGATTTTTATTTTTTATTCAATGACACCATCTTCTAACTGTTTTTATTATCACATCTCTCAGATCTACGAAACTGGACGGCTCCGTTGGTCACTTTTTGCGATCATTGTGTCGCATAAATGTTTAAAAAGAGAGAGTGGAAAGAAGGGGGCGGCATCTATCTGTCAAAAAAAATTTACTATTTAAAGTTGTTAGAAAGAACTAACGAAAACACCATAGAGACGTGGAGCGTACGTAAAGTAATTATTGGCAACAAATTGAAACTCTTAGTAGATGGTAAAATATTATACGACAACTCGATAATATTTCATCAAATATACAAATAAAAACAATTTCATCAAATATACAAGTATTAGATTTAATAAATAAAAAGAAAGCAGACATTCGCAGAAGACCATCAGGTCTTCATCGAGAACCACTCGTAAATTTAAAAATCTCATAAAAATCAAATCCATACATGGTCAAGTGTATAAAACACAAGAAAAATTTAAGTACATATACATTCATATTCAGTTGCAACACTGCTTAAAAAATAAAATTATTCAATGTTTAAAAGCGTCATTATTAGACAATATTACTTTCTTTTTTTTTTGAATGGTAACTCAACTCCAAAGAAAAATCAAAATGTTTTAAAACTATTTTATTCCGAAGAAAAGCTCCTCCACGAAATGAAATGTTTGACTTTACAAATTTAGTTTGAAAGAATGATTGACGAATCAATGTTTATATTTATTAATCACCCACTGTATATAATACAAGGTAAATTATTTTATAGTTACTTTTTTGCAAAAAAATAAATTTATCTTGGAATATTTACTTCAAGAATATCTTCGAAGATTTTCCTTTACTCCAATGAGTTCCAGAACTCAATTGCATAGCTTAACCTTTGAAGATTTTTTTTAAGAAATATTCTTTGACACAATAATTTTTACTTTTTTTTTTGTTATGCATTAAGTTTTCTAGATTTAGTTTATTTTGATTGCATAAACCTATGACATCATTTAAGAAAGGGTGCTTAGCGGTCTGGTTTTTAAACTGCGAGTTTACAATACCAAAGGTTGTTTTATTGCTCAAAATGCAAATAAATAAGTTTACCTTGTTTTGGTGTACAATTGTTTATACGTCTTGGATGTAAAACAAAAAATGAATATAATTTTTGCTGTGTTAGGAAACATGGAAAAGTGACTTAAGAACATTTCTTATTATTATATCAAGCTTTTGCATTAATACGTCTTTATAATCGCAAAGTTCAAGACCATACGTAAGTACCGGAACCACCAATGTTTTATATAGCTGGACAATAGAGCTTGGATGAGCAAATTGAATTCCAGACTGAATAAGAGTTTGAATTATTGCCCTGAATTTTGATATCCTATTATCAATGTTTAAACGATTAAGTGAGGCAAAAGAAGACCTTTTAGTATCCCATATAAAGCCTAGATGATTAAGTTTATCATTCAGTTTTATTTGTTGGTGGTCGATTGTTATCGTGCAGTTTGCAATTTGTTTTTTTTTTCTGGTAAACAAGAACTTGTTCTTATTAGCATTCAACTTTATACAATTTGCGTTATTGTATATATTACAAGCTGCTATAAGCTATTCAATTCCAGACCGGGTAGAACTAAGAATTCTACTAAACATCACTAAAGAGGAGACAAAATCGATCCTTCTCTCATTTCTTGAGTTAGATAAAATGGATATGATTTGCATCCTAGATAAGTGACAGAAGCACTGCCTTCATGGTAAAATGACGATATTGTATTAATAATATAAAGTTGTAATTTTTTATTGTCGTATAGTTTCCCAAACAGAATGTCCCAGCTACAGCTGTCAAATGCTTTTTCAACATCTAGGAAACAAAG